TCCGAAACAGTCCAGTGGTGCCTGAGCAGTGGGTGTTGCCTTCTGACACACATCCGGTGATGTCAGGGGGTGTGGCACATGCAAATGAGTTGTCCTAATGAGTTATGCTAATGAGCTCCTGCACTCCTTTTTCTACGAAATGACACCTGCATATAAGGATGGCCCCGACCTGGATAACCCAGGCTCGCCTGTTCCCTTCAGATCTCGGAAGCCAAACGGGGTCAGCCCTGGCTAATGTTTGCATGGGAGACCTCCAAGGAATACCAGGGTCGTGACATGGGGGCAGGTAATGGCAAACTGCCTCTGTACCTCTCTCGCCTTGAAAACCCTGCGGGGGTCTCCATTATTCAGTTGTGACTCGACGGCCACAGCCACCCCCACAAAGCTATAAGAACAGATATCCCGAATTATCACGCAGTTCCTATAAGGATCACCTTACCCTTGTTATTCGCCATATCATGGAAGAAGGGGGCCAGTGGTCGGCCTGCGACGTCTTCTGGGTGGGTAGTGAGGCCATCCCTCACTGCTTGGAATCCATTTAAGATAACCACGGGGGTCCATCCAAACCACAGGGTGTAAATATTCCCGAAGGACTTGGCCACCTTTGGGGAAATACCAACAACCACAGGTGATTGCACACACACACACAAAGATCCAGGTCTCTTTTGTTTGTTTCTTTTTTAAAATAATAATTGTAATTCTCCCAAACAGAAAGATATAAAAGATATAACAGAAATATAACAACGATAGTGGCAGGTTACAGATAAACATTTATAAAAAGGTTTCCAACTATCTAAAAATTTGTCCAAGCACTATTGCTGACCGTGAGCCACACAATGAAATGCTGACATGCCAGGGATGCCAACCTCCAGGTGATATCTGGAGATCTCCTGGGATGACAGCTGAACTCCAGGCAACTGAGATCAATTCCCCTGGAGAAAACGGCTCCTTTGGAGGGTGGGCTCCAGGGGTCATTTCCTGCAGGAGCACACGGGAGCGGAGCTCCGGCCGTAAAGAGCCCAGGGGGCGGGCACATGCCACAAGCCCCACCCCCTGCTCCCAGCAGCCCTAAGTCAGATCAAGAAGCAGCCAGGTAAGTTGCAGAGCCCTCCCCCCCGGCCCCGTGGCCCAAAACAGTCCAGTGGCACCTTTAAGACCAAGTTTTATTCAGGGAGAAGCTCTCCCTCCTCTGTGAGGACAGATCTGCACGTTCCTCCCCCCCACCCAATAGCTAGCAATCCGAAACAGTCCAGCGGAGCCTGAGTGGTGGGTGTTGCCTTCTGACACACTTCCGGTGATGTCAGGGGGTGTGGCCTATGCAAATGAGTTGTGCTAATGAGCTCCTGCATCTCTTTTTCTATGAAATGACCCCTGGTGGGCTCTATGGCATAAGAACATAAGAGGAGCCAATGCTGGATCAGGCCAATGGCCCATCCAGTCCAACACTCTTGTCACACAGTGGCCAGAAATACCCGGTGCCATCAGGAGGTCCAGCAGCGGGGCCAGGACACTAGAAGCCCTCCCACTGTTGACCCCCCCCAAAGCACCAAGAATACAGAGCATCCCTTGCCCCGGACTGAGAGTTCCTATCTATCCCCCCCAAAGGACCAAGAATACAGAGCATCCCTTGCCCTGGACTGAGAGTTCCTATCTATCCCTTGTGGTGAATAGCCGCTGATGGACCTCTGCTCCATATGCTTATCCAATTCCCACTTGAAGATGTCCATGCTTGTAGCCACCACCCCCTCCTGTGGCAATTAATTCCATGTGTTAATCACTCTTTGGGTGAAGAAGGACTTCCTTTTATCCGTTCTAACCTGACTGCTCAGCAATTTCATGGATGGTCAGCAGTTTCATGGAGTGCCCGCGAGTTCTTGTATCGTGAGAAAGGGAGAAAAGGGCTTTCTGATGTGATGTGATGATGTCATTTCTGGGTCACACCGGACGTGATGCAGACATGTTGCTGCAACGTCAGCTGGGCCTCCTCTTTTTCTGGGTAAGTCTCCACCCACTGGCCAGTTGATCAGCCGTGGGATGGTGGGTCCTGGGGGGGGAGACCCGGCCTCCACCGGGGTGTCTGGCAACTCTATTCCCAAGTACTCTGGGGCCCAATCCAGCCTGGGAGTATGGAGAGCCAGTTTGGTGTATTGGTTAAGTGTGCGGACTCTAATCTGGGAGAACCGGGTTTGATTCCCCACTCCTCCACTTGCACCTGCTGATGTGACCTTGGGTCAGTCACAAGCTCTGGCACAGCTGTACCTGAAAGAGCAGTTTCCGTCAGAGCTCTCTCAGCCCCACCTACCTCCTAGGGTGTCTGTTGTGGGGAGGGGAAGGGAAAGGAGACTGTAAGCCACTTGGGTAGTGAAGGGCGGGGTATAAATCCAATCTCTTCTTCTTCTT